GATATCAGAAAAAAGGCCTCGAGTGCAAAGGGTTAAGAGATACTCCAAACAAGTTGTTGGCACCTTTTATAATTGTTCGTTCAACATAAGGACTTAGTTTTTTCCTTGGATCGCCTCGAGAAGTTTATTACAATATTGTGAATCTTCCAAGTCTAGAGGCATTCCTCGAATGTTGACACTTATGCTAAAATTACACTTTCCTCCTCAGCGCTAAGAGAAATGTACCACGAGCCATTTTTTAATGTGTCATATAATGTTTCACTGTACTTAAATAAAAATTAGAGAATTTATCCACGCGTGTCGCAACTTTAAACCTAACAAAATTCGTTTATTTATATTTGCGCTATAGTTATAGAACAATTGAAAAACACTATTTCGATTGTCTCGTGTCGTATATAAAACCAGCTTTGAAAAGATTAATTAATTAAACGCATTATTTATCATATCCTGTCAGCTAATATGATCGAACTTTTTTCATTTCCACTGAAAAGACTGAAAAATTTCAAAATATAAATGATGCTATAATATAAGTTATACTCCATAGTGTATGTATGAATACCATGTATGAATACCATGGCATGAAAGGAAAAATATAGCGTTACACACATTTGAATGACAACCAACGGAAACATTTGTGCTATTCATGTCTGAATGGTATAGAGGACAACGTGGTCATATCGTTAACCTTCGTTTTTCGATTGCGCTTGTAGAAACTGGCAAGACTCTTTATGAGGCAAATATATGCAGGGTTCAATTTAAACATTCGTAATAGTTAAATATTCAAGATACCTTAACGAATAAAAAGTGAGCTTATCCAAAACGAATCATAGACTTAGGTTTCGATTTTGTAACAAAATTTACAAGCTCCGTTAAATTCCTATAGAATCGTAATTAAAACTAATTTCAAACGCAATAAATACTTGATACATATTTATTTTTAAGTTCCACAGTTAATTTCAAAATAAATAGTTGAAATAATAATATTCTCAGTTTCCGAAGTAAAGATAACTCTGTAAACCAATTTCCATAAATAAATGGCAGGTGGTACATTTTAATTGAGAACAAGTACAAAAACAAATTTTAACCATGAAAATGAAGTTCAAAAGTTTCTTTGTGGTAAATAGTAACAATTACAGGAATAAGAGTGTTTGAAAAAAAACTAAGAGTACATTCACAACTATAAACTACTTTTTGTATTATTTTCTTTTATATTTTACACACACGAAATCAGACAGAATCAATATTACAAATTGACAAATTAACAAATCTATATTACAAATAACTGAATGGACAAATTTTGAAAGAATTTCTAAGAAATCAAAAAAATAGAGCAGAAACGGAACTTGGCCATATAATGTCTATCGATCACATATAATCTTATTCCTCAAGTAAATAAACTATAGAATCTCGTAAATAAATGAAAGGGTAAGCAATCCCTCGATGGTTAATTCCCACGACACTTTCAACCTCTCATTCAAATTTCAAATTAACGTATTCCTCGAAACATGTCCATACGACGTACGTGAATTAAAATTAAGCACTCTGTATAATTAATTAATTCTACCGACCGAATTACTCGTTCAACGATCTCTAAAGATGAACAGATTTGGAGATATCGGTGGGTCAACGAACTGACAATGAGATCAACCATGGGGCATTCGGCTCGATAAAGTGTTCTAACACACTCGAGATTTCGTCCCTGAATCCAAATCGATTCAGGAAGCTTCCAAGTCCCGGAGAACTGCAAACATTCGCCAAGGAATTAAATTAATCGTGGCTGAAACGATTTTATACCGTGACAGAAAATTCGGATATTTGGACAGAGACGTCTCTACTACTACGAAAAGGTTTTGGTGCAACAAGAGAACTGTCTGCAATCCGTTTGAATCGCAATCAAGACGAGAAGCACTTGGGGCGAACTAAACAAACGAAACTGCGATGAGAATAAATGTAATAAAAGGTTCACTCGCCCAGTTCCAATATTCGGCTTTAACTGCTCGTTGATGTGTAGCATATGTTTAACCCTTTCAGTACCAATCGAGGGAACTGCGAAGAATATCGAACCAAGTTGATGTAATTTAGCAAAATTTTAGGAAAAAAGTGCAAACATAGAAGTCTGTGTGAAGCTGACAGCTCACTTTGTATGTTAAAAGTAAGAATAATGTTTACGGAATTTAAAAAGGAATGTATAACGAAATAAAAAATGAATGAATTAACGCCAAATATATTGCAGTATGTGATGAAAATCGTACTAATGAAGATTATTTGATATCATTAGGAAAATGAAGAAGTTAATTATTCCTTATAAATAGTACACTTGGATATAGAACACGTAGTGTATAGTCGGTGTATTTACAATTACTTGTAACAAAATTACCAATGTCATAACACAAAAGTAAACCAATGCCACCAAACTAATTATTGCCATAACTTAATCTCGATATCGCAGAATACAACAAAGTTAAACATAAAATTTCTGAAGAGAAATCAGTTCTACATTCCGAATTCGTTAAACTTTACAAAACAGAAGACATATTCGAATTTACTTATTTGACTAATATATTATTATCGATTATTATCAAAACATTTATTATGATTTGGAATAAAACTCATTACTTTCAAGATCAAAGTTGAATGTACAAACGTTTATTTTTATTTTAATAAACGCTTTGTATGTTAAACATCCAATCCCTATAGAATAATCGTACATGCAATTGAAAGCAATATTTTCTTTCAAAATCTGCGTTTTCAAAACTGTAGGAATTTTTATATTCGAATCGACGTCAAACGTTTGCTTGTTAAACGAAAGACTGTTCGTCATACACAATAACTAGAATCCAGAACACGAGATTGAGATATCCAGATTCACAACTAAGAATAGTCAATTACCAGCTTCTAACCAATCAAATTCATTACAACGCTTTGAACGTAGAGAGACAAACTAAACTGTTCGTTTCAACACTCAAAATCTGAGGAATGGCACTTGGAACGTGCTGTCCAGTTTGTTTCAGGTACATCGTCAGTTACTTCGAACGCTCACGAATCTCGCTCTAAAGTTTAGTTAAGCGTAAATTGCTTTACTCTTCGAACCCACCGCTCATACAATCTCAGATTACAACTTTCTAAACGCTTTAAAAGCTTATCCCTTATCTTCGACTGTGCAGGCTTCGCTCCAATTTGTACAGAAAGCATTCGTATTGAAATACTTTATGTCCAGCAATACATTAAAAAAAAAAGAATTACTTATTCGAAAAAATAACCCATAAGTCTTTTAGTTTTGTCAGAATTTCTTGTATTCGATAAACGTTTCAACTCGTTTTCTGAAAGTGAAATTTTTCTGGTAGATTTTATTTTGTTACCCAAATATTTTACTTTTATTTATTATAGTTACAAAAATCATACACCCTATTTTTCATCAAAACTGCATTTTTTGCAATAACATAAATAAAAGAGAATATTAGATACTTTACATTAAAGTCTCACGATCCCAAAATTTCGCTACACGGCCGCATTTGGGGTCGCGATCCATAATTTAAGAAGCCCTAATTTAATTGAGGAGAAACATACAATTATTGAAAACGTAGTCAGAACTCTTAATTATTTAAGAGCTTCCACAAAGTGAGCCGTCAGTTTCACACAGATCTTTAAACAAGTGGAATTTTGTTTCGTACTGCTTATTAGTATCTAATAAATATGTAATTTTTGTTTTCGTGTTCTCCTACTTGTAAATTATTGTCTGTACATTCTATATCACTATGTATTTTTACAAGACTAATAATATATTTTAAACATAGGTTGAAACCTTGCCTCTATGGCTACTGTTTTATTGAATACATTTATTATTATGATAATAAACATCATTTACTTGAAATTGATTATTTTTATATTAAAAATATTCTATTGAAATTTCTTACGTATGTAAGAAAAATGTCTCGAACTACACTCTAATCTACACGAACTACATACACATTTTTCTTTCTCTGAGGTTCACAGAAATTAACTGAAAATGGCAAGCAATAGACATACATATTTGCCACACGTTGTATTTCAATTTTATGCGTACCTGGAGAATTTTTTTTTTTTTTAACATATTTGGAAAACTGCATCACGATTATGTAACTTAATATTGACGGCAAATAAGTAATATAAGTAATATGACATCACCATCAATATCGACCAACTTCAATACAAGTAGTAATGTCGAGCAATAGGCAGACACGTTAACCAAGTTGTACTTAATCGCACTCCTGCAGGAAAAATCTTCATTTTTTCGAATAAATCATTCTTTCGTTAAAAAATCTACTTTGATGAAAAGGGAACCCCGCACCAAAAAATTCTATTGTAAACTTTCAATTCCTTTTTGTACAATAACCTAGCATCCTGTATACCGAACTTAATTAACGTTCCGTTATACCCAAATAACCATGTTATTCTCCGATCTATAATACCCAAAATGAAATTTAAACTTTCATTGGTTTTCGTTCATTCCAAAAAACCAACAAACATTGAATTTTTTGCTGTGGTAAAAACGGTGTTCTTATTGTTCTTTTGCATGCCAATAGCAATTATATATTTTTCTGTGGAACATCTTCCAGCATCAATTTTAATATGAAACAGTTTCTTTAATGACATGTGATTATAAAAACTGAACATTTTCAAACGCTTTTATAGTTACGATACCTAGTTTATATTGCAACGTGTACACTGTGTTCGGCGAGTATACTCGTCATCGTGTACTGTTTGCAACATATTTTAGGTACACACTTTTCAAAGAGATCACCCTATAGCTCGCTAATTCCACGGATAAATAAACGTGCAAAGTTTTAAGCTGTTGTTGTCAACAGTATGCGAGTATTCATTGAAAAGCGGCTCTTTTTAGCGTTTCAAGCCAGCAGTCTTCCCTTTAAGCCGCAAGAGAATTTGCACGAAACCTTTGACAATAATCCGTGTAATCGTGTCGAGCAATGGAAAAGCAAGAATAGATCGTCGGCGGAACTTACCGTCCTGAAAAGGGCCGTCGTGACAGAGCTCCATAACCACCTGGTTGGTGCCCGCGTACAGCGAGTTGAAACGCTCCCTTTGGTTCTCATCCAAGCAGTCGAGCGTATACGTCTGGATGCACTTCATCCCAGCCTCGAAGTGTCTGCGAGAACAAGAAAGAATCGTTGATGCGGACTAGAAATTATAATGGTAATTAGGATCTGGAAACGCGCCGGAGTGCTGGCCACTGGCGAAACTTCGAGAATTAAAAGTAACGGAGGTAGTATTACAGTGAATTTTTAAACAAGTACTAGAGGCCTTGGAACGGGGATACAAATTGTTCACCGCGGCGAAGGGAACCGTTTCGAATGGTCGAGAGCTATTCCGTCATTTCTGCCGGAAAAATATATCTCGTGAACGAGCGTACTGCTGACTTCCTAGTTTGAACGACGACTAATTGCATCGACCAAGAACTCCTCAACTTTGCGCTAACGGGACAAATTGGAATCGCGTGAGCGAGTAGACGCCGATTTATGAACTGTTCTAGATTCGTTATTGTCTCTGCATTCTTTAAAAACAGGAATATCGAGCGTATTTCTTATATACGTTTAATTAAAATTACTTTTATCATTTTTACATACAATTTTATAGTTATAAATAAAAATGTGTGAAATGAAAACGTTAATATTAAGGCTAAAATAAATTCAGCGAAAGAACCAAAGGTAATAGAGAACAGGAAAAAGAAAGAAGAATATTTGTAAAAAGGAAGTGTAAAGGGGAGCAAGGAGTGGAAATTCAGATGTAATATCAAGGCGAGCAATAAAGAATGCATACATACTATTTTATAAGTATAAATATAAGGGAATGTAAAAGATTTTCTAACGAGGACTTTACGATGTTGTTTTTTAACATATTAGGTGTCGAACTTATTTTGCTTCACTTGTAACTTACGCTAAATGTACTTTTCTTTTTATAGACTTTCAATCATTGACATTATCAAATTATTGTATTGGCGTTTCAACCACCGAAAGAATTTCCAATAAATTTGAAACTAGAAATATATACATAATTTAGTTGAAATATTAAATGTAAAACGATAGTATTACAAGAAATTGAATAGAATATAATTAGAAATATAAATGATTATTAACAAAATTAAATTAAGCATTTAAAGATCATGTTAAAAAGTAAGAAATTAGGGAATATACTAATATACTGTATAATGAGACATAATAAATATATGCATGATATGTACATACAAAACGCTAAAATTTAATATAAGATTAATTTTAAAAATCAATCTCTTGTCACAGTATTATTTTATCAAAGAAATGCACCAATATAAATTGTTAACAATTCGCAGATTTTAAAAGTAACTCATATTAAAGAAAGTAATTATAATATGTATATTATTGCAATAGTACTAATAAGAATTATAGCAACAATTAACTATATAAATGGTACAATTTCACAAATATTAATAAATGCTTCACACTTGCCATATCATTAATAATTATTATAATTTAAGTATTGCTTTATCACATGTATATGTATATAGAAGAATGTAATCATAAATAATACAGTCATACTTTGTCGAATTACGCCGTCCATTTCCATTGCAAAATAATTTAAATTTAAATATATTCGTCAAAGCATTTTTATTTTTGTCTCATTTGCCTTTCCTGCGACAAAAAGTTTCTCTTCTTTTGACATATTTTTTAGCCGATAAGAATTTTCAATAACATTGCACAAATCAAATATATTTCAACATAAATTTAATGAGATAGGAAAAGGATTCTGAAACGAACGGAGAATTATACAACAAGTTTCTTAATATGGAAAGCACTTCTCGTTCTTAATTAAGAGAAAATCCTGAGAAGAGAGAGCAAAGAAAGTTTTTAATACCGATAGAAATTATCGATCTTTTCATCAAAATAAAATATTATAAATCGATACCTTCTACTTACTGCGAACTTCAGATTACCTTCATAATTACTAACAATTAAATGGATATACTTAAATTGTATTCCTTTTCAAAGAAAATAGCAAAATAATTGAATACAAGAATGAAAAATTGTCAAGCTTTTACGATTAGAATTATCAGCCCATCAATTTGTCTAATTATTAACAATCATTTTGCTTCAATTTTTGATAGCAATTATTCGAATAGAAAACTTAATACATTCATAAATTTATGTTAGGTATGTAATAGTATTTACCAACATTTTTAAAGAGGATTCTGGAACTTCGTCCAATTACAAAAATTACAAAATATATATTATAAATTTAATTGTAATCGTCTGTACTTTTATTCAAACCAAAACAATTGAATATGTTCGACACCGTTTGTATTTTATATTTAAAAAAAAAAAAAAAAATTCTAAGGCCTCTTTTCAAACACCCTTTATAATAGGTAGATATGTGTCGGTACTGTTGGTAGATTTTGTCATAAGGGAGTATCAGGAAATAATTCGTCACATTCTATCTAAGAATGTAGTATTTCCGTGTCGTGACAATTCCATTATTACCAGTAACGTGAATGACGAATAAAAGAATTCTAATAACGGAAACCAGGACGTCATTCCTCGTTAGCGGAATAATTATCTTCCTGTTGCTTACTAGAGCAATCACGCCTGTTTTCCATTTTTATCTCCTTCGTACTCGTTGAATAAAAATTAGATTCTGAATTATAGAAGAAAATTACATTTCACTATAGGCACCTAAAAACTTACAAAATGAATAGAGAATGTAGTTTATTAGCATAAATCTTTCGATCTGGCATTAAGGTCCTCGTCAATATTATGTATAGACAGATAGAAATCTAAATTAAGAATTCTTTGACCATTATATATTTAATTTCTCACTTTGTTAAATTTTCTAACCCTCTAAATATATTTTTATGGGGAAAACATGTTTTACACACCACTAGACATTAAAACATTTTGATTTTTTATTAGAAATGCACTGTAGAGCATAACTATAGCACCACGTATATTTTTAAGTATTTTAGATGTTTGAGTAGGATAGAAAAATGCTGAATTATATCAAAAGAGCTGAAAGCATTTGATAAATAATGAGTATACTGCGGATTTTATACATTTATAATAGACACTAGTATAATAAACACAAACCAAAAAGTATGTGCACGTATGCAACATGAAATAACAATATCATTATAATGATTGTAAAGTATATTTAACGTACATTATATTGTAAGAGTCACCTGCCATAGCAAAGGTGCCGACAGCCGTTTGAACTATGCCGAAATGCGTTCGGCGTAGTCGATGCGGGAACGATTTGCGATACTTCCGGTCGAATTCGCCGCGAGACGGGTCACGTTTCGACGTTTACTCATGTTTTTATGTTTTTATGTGTATGTGTCGCGTGGCAAATTCAGTGTTCGAAATAATAATATATGTTAAGTTTATGTACAATTTGTGTTGAATCCTACCTCCTCCTCTTCTCTATATTATTATAAGTACGTCATAAATGCACAAAATTCGCAATCTTGACAGGATTATAACACCACGTAAGTTGGATAAGTATATTTAATTAACAAGAATATGAATACATATATATCGAGCACATGTTAATGGTAACAGCTCGTGATGCGGACTAACCTAACCGAACGTCGCGAGGACGGGCGTAGAGTAAGGAACAAAAGACGCGATAGTCTACGACGTACATAGCGGCGCTCAAATCAAACTGAACACATATGGATTGCTTTCTCACAAATCTAATAATGAATTTTATCCTTATACATATATCTGTAGTTGCTTTTAATTTCATACAACTGATTTTATTTCATACCAATAAAACACCCCGAAACATTTACGAATATGGGTGGTGCTTTAATTATACTCAGCAATGTATGCCCCTCGATATGCAAAAATTTCATATAAACCAAGTATTAATGGAGTAAATTACATGGCTTACTTAAATTACACATTTTGCAACGAGATGCCTCAGAGTACAAACTGTTAAATGAAAATGCACATGACTACAATTAAACATGCAAGACATTGACAGACGTATTTTGTTATTAAAGACCCTTTATACATAGAAAGATAGATGAAGCTACACCTACGCGAGATGAGCAGCAATTAGATGTCGCGTGTGACAGTTTACGATGTGAATAAAGCAGAGGGACATAATATGTATTATATAAATCACAAAATTTCGTGTGCGGCATTCGGGTGTTGCCTTTCAATTCGCCGCTATTGAATCATAGCGGTGCATTATTTCGCGTGTTGAATCTACGTAACCACTTTAAGAGCAGCTGCACGAGTAAGAAAAGGCGGTTCAAGTGTGCCCCCGTCGGCTTAAGCATTAAAATTTCAAATTTCAATTGCAATTCGCGCAGTGGGAAATCGCCCGAATTCGTCTTCCTTGTGTTGCCGTGAAATTACCAGCACACGCTCGTGGAAATTTAGGAACTAGCGAAAACCTCTCCCGACTTGATCCAAAGGAATTCTCCTTTGTTCTTGACAATGCTTCCTTGGAAAAAAATATATTGATTAATTTGTTCTTTAATAATATCTAGTCTAAGATAAATTACACCGTGGATCATAACTATAGCATTACACATATTTTAAAATGCCCTCGGGAGCTGCAGCTGTCTGACTGTAGCTACAGTACGGGTTTAGCAATCTCGAGATACCTCGAGCTATAGGGAGCCAGTCGGATTACTAGGAGGCCTAACAGATCACTGGTATCCCTAACGAAGATGTTACAGAGTTGTGAAGAGAATAGTAATGTAAAGTAAGAATTAAGTAAATGTAAGAAACAAACAAATGTAAAGGGTCGCACAGATTATTCTGACGTGACGTGACGTGGGAATACGTCACGTCAGGCACCGTGGGCTGACGTCAGGCTACGTGGGTCCACGTCAGACATGAGAAATTGTCAGAAATAATGAATCCTTCGATAATTCTGAGTTTATGGCACTTCGGTTATTGAGGTCGAAACGGGTATTAGAGATTCTAAAAACCATTCAACGCTAAAGACTCGAAATACGTTAAATCTCAAAAATAACCTTTTCTCGTCCGCAGACCAAACGTACCAACAAAATTCCAATGTTATGTTCCTTGCGACGGAACACTCGTTTTTTTTTTTTTTGCAATATCGAAGAGGTATCGCGGTAGGCGATGTTAACTACTTCAG